GTGTGTGTGTGTGTGTGTGTGTGTGTGTGTGTATGTAAGCGCCACACCAGTGCCCACAAAAGCAAAAACACAACGTCCCACAATCAACGGATTCCGCGCAAGAACTGTGCCCTACGACACGACACGGTTTGCTCCTCATACAGAGCAGTTCCTGCCCGAGCTTATGTACGCATTGGGCCGGAGTAGTTCCCCGGCGCTGCGCTCTGTTCGATGCTTTCCCGTGACCTTCCGGATATTAAAAAAAAAGTATGTATATAAATACATATATATATATATATATCTATAAATATATATATAGATATGCATATATATAAATATATATCTGTATATATGTATATATATATATATATACATCAACGCGAGGACGGGTCTGCATCCCCCCCCCCGTCAGCACCGTACCTTCCCCCACCCCCCCGTTTGGCGAGAACCCCGACAAGCATCTCAAGCATAGTGTTCCCCCCCCTCATGGCGTCTGCGACGTCACCTATTTTCGTCGCGATCGCTGTGCTGGTTTCCGATGTCGCCTTCGCGAGAGTTGAGGCGGCCTTGTCAAGACCGTCGCAATACGCCCTTGTAGAATCCTCCATCACCCTCCCCAACGACGACCCCCTGCAACTCATGTCCTCCACTCTTGCCTTTCCGCTGTTGGATCTTCGTCTCTTCGATGGACCGTCGGAATCGTCCGAACCACTTCTCCCCGAACCACGATTCCAGGGACCGTCATTTTGAGCTGTCTCCCCTCCTCCGCCGGTCAGATCCTCGGACGCCAATTTCTTGTCACAGGAAATGGATGGTCTATTCAACTTCCATTGCATCGCCTCCCAAAGCGGTCTCTCAAAGGCTAGAGGCACCTCCAACTCCTTCCGCTTCTCCACGGGCAAGTGGAAGTACGAAGGCATGCCAGACGCATTCGCACACCTGTTCAAGATTAGCTTCGCCTTGCTCAACATGTTCGTCCATTTCTTCCGACAATCTTCCGCTGTCCTGTGTCGGAATCCGTTGTCTTTCATTGGTCTTTCACCCAGGCGTTCCACTCCTTCATCTTCATGAACTGATGTTGATCCTCCGCGTCAGCCATGAGGGCGTCGTTCTCCGCCATCAACTTCGCCAGGGTGATCCTCTTCTCCAACGTCCAAGGGACGTTTTGTTTTTTTGTTTGTCGCAGCATTGTCTTTGCCCTTGCGCTTGTCATGAGGACGACCACGCTCCCGTACGACCAAGGTCTGCCCTTGGTTGGAATATTGTGTGCTGTCTACGTCTCCACGGGCATTTTCTGAAGTCAGCACAGGAATGTTCACTCCATCTCCCTCATCATCACCGTCGTCATCACTTTCACATGCTTCACCTTCATCCGCATCGTCATCAAAATCTGCTGTCCCCGATGAACGGTTTCCTGCAGGCCATCCCTGGTTGGTCTCTTGGCAATGCGCATCGCGCATGGAAGTCGACTGATGACAAGGCATGCGTTTGGCCGATGGTCGACTCGGGCTGCCCATTGCACCGTTCATTTGCTGCGACGTCTGCTCGTACTGCGGGGACCACGATCGATCACTCCTCATCGCGCTGCCCCTGTCAACATTGTGCTGGGACGACAAATCTTGTGTCGGAATGCCGAATCCGCAGCCGGCCTCAAAGGAATGCGGAGCAGGTGTGCCGTATCCGGCACCAATCGGACCCGGGAGGGGACCATGGCCCATGTACATGGCTCCTGCAGGCATACTTTGCATAGACGGCCATCCAGGGAACCGTCCACGTGTCCCTGCCGCATGCTGATGTGCGGAAGCAGGGACAGGGGCCCGTGGTATATGGATCGGCAAGCCTCGACCCCCATCCAACAACTGGCCGGTGAAGGATTGAACCACCGACGTAGATGGCGAAGAGCACGACACAGATCCGTGAACGGGAACGTCTTGCGTTTGGAATCCCCCATTGTTGCCCATCGGGAGATCTGTCCTCCATCGACTGGAATCCATCCTTCTGCACCTACCAATAAAAAACCTCTCTCTCTCTCTCTCTCTCTCTCTCTCTCTGTGTCTCTCTCTCTCTCTCTCTCTCTCTCTCTCTCTCTCTCTCTCTCTCTCTCTCTCTCTCTCTCTCTCTCTCT